GAATGTGAGGTTTTCTGACTCAAAAGCAGCACCACCCCTGAAACCTCTCTGCCAGCCTTATGAGGCCCCACTGCAGAAGTTCAGTATTGGGGACGGCAGACTGAGGTCTGGTGGTAAGGCTTCTGGGAAAGGCTTTCCCAGATGTGTAGCTTTGAGCATGTATGGAAATAGCATGGAAGCTCACTTAAACGACAAACCCTTTTCATCGTGTTCATAAAATAAAGTATGATGTGGTTGCTGCTTCTCTGAGAAACGAAGGAAGCCTTTAAGGAGGGGAGATGGCTGATAAAATGGATTATAATCACAATTTCTTCCCATTTTATAATTCCTCTGGGTCAACCTGTGTGCTGCTTGGTCAGTAGGGTCACCCGTGGGGCACTGACATGTCCAACTGTCCACATGTTCCTACCTCTGGGTGAGATTTTCTGAAAGGAGAAGTGGAGGAGACACCAGCGGGGTGTGGGGCACACTTTGTGTGGTGTCATTGCAGCCATGCACTCGTAAACCCCTGTGCTGCTCAGAGCGGGGCTGCATCCATCTGAGAGCGCCAGACGGCTGGGAGCATTTCTGGGAGCACACCTCAAAGTCACTTGGGACTTCAACCAGCCAGGAGCACGCTGTGTTTGAGCACCTCCAGGATTAGGCAGCATCTGAGCTGGGATTTTCAACCTCTGGGGTTTATTACTAGGTAGATTCAGAAACTAGTTTTGATTCAGGCTCTTGATATTTTGCAATCATAGTGAGCGACATCTTCCAATTGTGTGTATAGTGTTTTAGCTTTAACGAAGATCTGGAGAATTCTTGTTATTAAAGACTTAGTTGCTCTGTTTGTGGTAGAGGAAATGAGCATTTTAAGATCCTGATAATTACTGAAGCCAGACACTTTGAGCCACTCTAAATACTGTTGTTGCGCAGTCATGTTGAGCACAAATGCGATGCCTGCTGCCTGATCTCCCCAAGAGTGATCAGAATCCTGCCACTGAGTCTTCCTCACATGTTTCTCTTTCTTTTTAGGATCCTCTAGATATTATTGGAATGTGACCACAGAGAAAAATGTGCTTTTCTAACAACTCTGCTGTGGACATTTAATCAGACTTTGATTCCTGGAAATGCTACAGCATGGCTTCATCAGGGAATGAGATAGAAATATGGACTCACAGGCAAGGTGGCGGAATTGGAGAGCTGGTAGAGCCCGTGACCTCTCCTGAAAACGGTGATCGTCTTTCACCAGGGAAGTCGATCGGCAGCGTAGACCATCTGCACCTCCCTGGAAGAGTAGACTCTGCTTACAGCTCTTTCTCAGGGGGCTCAAACATTCCAGAGTATCCCACCCCATCGTGCTATAGCGAAAACTGCTGTTTGCCTCCACAGCAGGTACCGTACATGGACGCAGAATACGTAAGAGGTATTTACAATCTCAGCGCAGCAACCTCTGACCTCCGATGCCCGCATCCACCCAAGGTACTAGACCCGAGCATCCATAACAGCTCTCACAGCACCACTCCTGGGGAAGCACCCCTGCCCAAGAGGCTTTAAATCCAAGACTGCTGCCTCTGGCTGCACCTCCACCTTCTCCTCCCATGCGACTCGATAGCTATAAAGTCACTAGACACCTGGAAAGCTCAAGAGGGAGACGCAACTCGGGAGGTCACGGTGAGTGCAGTGTGCAGCCGGTGCCTTGCCGGCAGGACAGTTGGCTAGCGGACAGGGATGTGCCGTGGGGTCAATGCAGGGATGAAGTTACTGAGCCAGACATAGCGGCTGCTAGGAGAAGGACTCTGGAAAATGAGGGCCTTTCTTCTGCTGATTCTACAAAGGAGGTATTGATATCAAAAATTCAGGGATTAAAGGTGGAAGAAAATGGAGAGTGGAGCTCATCCCAACAACCTGTAAAGAGAACCAATCCACACGTTTTCCGCAGACCTTCTTCATTCATTTTTCAAGAATATTTGAAGACTGACTCTGTGGCTAACATCCCTAAAATACTTTCTGCTTACAATTCAGTTTATGCTTATAAAATTCCTGAAGAGGTGAGCTCCAAGTCCTATCACCCAGCGCATACCAACCCTGGCGCTGTTAATGATACACGAGAAGACAAACAGTGTCCTGGCAGTGGATGGAAGCCAACTTCCAGAGGAGCAGATCTGCGAAGTGCAGTGCCGGAACCCAACCGACGAAAAGGATCCTTGCCCTGCGCTCCGTGCCCGCTCCCTGCCGACTTGCATTCGGACTTGGATCAAGAGGTGTTTGAGGATAGTTGTGACTTAAAATCTATGGAGAATGCTCTTCCAGTTAAAAATGCCTCCAGGAAGCTGAACAGTTGTGCAGCTGAAAATCAGTGCTGTGACTCTGAAGGAAAAACTGGGCGTGATGTTAGGGAACTGCTGCTGAATCAGCAAGCCCAAACGCAGAGATCATCACTGTCCTGCAGCTACGGCGCTGCAGAAACGGAGCTCCCTCGCTGTGAGGAGTTGGGTCAGGGAGATCGGCACCGCTACGATAACACTACCCAAACATCCTTTTTCAGACCAAAGGAAGATTCCACATCCCAGTCTTCATGTGAAGTGAAGAAAGAAGAACAGGCTAATAACAGCAGTCCTGGCTTTAGCACGCAGCTAGAACAAGAGGAACCTCCTGTTCAGAAAAGCCAAGCTGAATTCCAAAACCAGCTCTTACGACAGCTCCGGGATGATCTGGCTGGTGAGCAAATAACCAGGCAGACCACTCCCATGCTTTACTATCTTTCTGGGGGGAAAACCACCGACATCCTGCACAGCAAGCTCGCCCAACGACAAGGGGACTCAAGGAGCTCACCAAAGGAATGTCCAGTGAGCAGCTGCTCTGCCTCAGCGCGGTGTGTAGAGGCACAAGGGGGAAGCAGTGGGCTCCGAAGGACCAGCCACCGCCATCAGTGCAGCGCTGAGGAGCTCCTGCTCGAGCCTGATGATCTCAGGGGTCCTGCTTCATCCACGGATGAGAGTTTTAAGAATGACTATAGAGAGAAACTGAAAGTGGCTCAAAAAAAGGTTCTGAGGGAAACCTCCTTTAAGAGAAAAGACTTACAGATGAGTTTGCCTGTTAGACTGAGACAGAAACCCTCTAAAAGACCATCAGTTGAGCACCTTCGGTCTTTCTCGTTATCCCACGCAGGCGAGGATGCCCAACCTTGTTCCCTTTCTCATCTAGAATCCTTGGGAAGTTTCAGTAGAGATGAAGAAGTTAAGAGGCCGCAAACAGGTAGAATAGGGGGAAGGAAAAGGGTAACAAAGGAGCAAAAGAAACTGTGTTATTCTGAACCTGAGAAACTGGATCAGCTGGCAGATAAGGAGGTGTCATGGAATCACGTCAGGGATGAAATCACTGAGCAAGATGTAGTGGCAGCTAGGAGAAAGGCTCTGGAAAACAGAGGGAGGGCACTTTCCAGTTCAAATATCTCCAGGATGGAGCTGAAACAGATCCAGTATACTGCACTTATGGAATACATGGAACGAAAGATTCATCAGAGACCCGCTAGTTCCCAGCCCCTGCCGCTGCACAAGCCGCCCCTGCAGAAGGGGCTGTCGCATCCCAGGTGGCCTCCTGGCAAGGTTTCCAGCCCGAGTGGGAGCAGGAGCCTGCAAAACAATGAGGTTTTCTGCCAAGTTTTCGCTAAAGAAAAATCGCCAGATGTTTTCCCTCCTTTGGCTTTTGTTCCCCTGCTGAGAGCGACCAGCAGGTTCGATCCCAGCTCTGCTGCTGCTGGTACAACGACCTCGAAGAACCACCCTAGTGAAGGGGACGGGAGCTGCGCCGGCAAGCGTGTGTCGGCCGAAATTCTCCCGCCGGCAGGTGATCCTGCGTCGGGGAGAGCTCACGAGACAGCGCAATCAACTCCTCCTTCCACGCAGGTAAGGCACTGCGACAGTAGTTCTTGTGTGACTCTCCAGCTGTCTCAGAGAACTGTGGGACTGTGCACATGGAAAACTGCTGGACATCACAAATGAGGAATTAAGACTTGATTTTTTTTTTTATTTTTTTAGCATGGAGTAGAGAGATGGTGGATGTGGAGAAGGAGCCACATTTGCTTAATCGATAGGAAACGCCGTGTGGCTGTTTGAAAGCAAAGTGGGTTTTATTTTTGAGTGAAACACTCTGGTTCGCAGTGGACAGGAGAAATAATTTGGGCGGATTTGGGGACAAGTGCTACCCATTTTAAGGTGTTAAATATTTATGATTAATGATAACTATTTGCTACTCTTGAAAGTATTTTGTGAGAAAGCATTGCAGACAAACCCAGTGTTTTTAGTGCGAAGAGTTACCTGAGAGTTGCCTAAGAGTGGAAACTTCGTTAGGGAAGGCTGAAAGGCACATTTGGTCTGGGCAGCGTCATTTGTTGCCACCCAGCATGTGCACAGGTAAAGGCAGGAGGAAGAGGAGCATCTGCTCCAAGGGACATGCTGTGCAAGTGCCGTTGGGTCTGCTCGAGGGCTGGACAACACCAGGGCCCCTTCAGAGCTGCCGAGGGGTGTGCGTGGGGTCTGGCACGTGCTGTGTGCAGTGGCACTGTTCGTGTTTTGGTGTGTTCACCGTCCTTAACTGCAGCCACCTCAGTAGAGCACTAGCCCAGAAAAGGCTGTTACTGAGGGATTTTTATAAGTGACTAACCTTTTCGGCTCCCAAATCTGAAGGACAGTCGCTGTCAGTATTGTTGTCAGGGAGAATAAAGAAAATAAAAGGGCCAGAAAAACAAATAATCTAATATACTTGTAAAATGACCCAGCTGAAGAGGCTAACAAACTTCCACTGATGCTGCCTGCTTTGTGGGTTGTCGAGAGTCAGCGACAGCGTATATTTTGTCGCTAGCTATTCTTTGGTTTTCTAGGAAAAAGAGGTGGGAGGTGCCTAGGAAGAGCATAATCAGAGTTTCATTAATAAAAAGAGATAGGCACACTCAAAAATAAAACCCCTGGTGAACCTACTTGGAGATCTACTGCTGGCTTCGGTTTCTGGGGAGGAACAGCTGCCCGGCCTGAAAATGCTGGTTGTCCCAGTGTGCTGTTTTCCTTTCCAGGCCCCTTGCAGATGTGCCAGCGGTGCAGCAGCAGCGTCTCGGCGTTGTGAGAGCTGTCTCGACACCCCCAGGTAAGGCTGCGACAGCTGTGCCCACGCAGAGCCGGTGCCCGACGTGTCAACTCCCATGGCAGTCGTGGCTCTTTGCTTCTCTCCGTGTGTCTGAGATCCGTCCATGCCCAGACGGAAATACTCATCTGCTATGCTGTTTCTTTCATTTTGGGATGGTCTTTAACGTGATTTCTGCTGTGTGGAACAGCAGTGGCAAATGCAGAGTGTACGTGAGCCGCTCTCCCTGCGGCAGCCGCGATCTCTGAGTTCACAGCTCCCTCGTCTGAGCTCCGGCAAAAATGGCATCTGCAACGGCTCGGATATGCCCAGTCTTGAAAAAAATCTGTGCACAGAGTGGTGCGACAGGGGCTTTTGGTGTGGTTTCTTTAAAGGAAAAAGTAATATTGTGGCGTTTACACATAGCTAACGAGGAAGTTTGTGTGGTAACTCTTGGTATTTGTTTTGCTTGTTTGAGGAATATCAGGGGAAAAAAAGGATCTGAACTTTGTCTCAGCGGGGCAGTGATGCCGACATTTGTCTAGTAGTAGAATTTCCACTGCTTCAGTCGTTCAAAAATGTCCAAAGGCTTTCTGGAGGTTTGATTATCTTACTTAAAATAACATTTTTTTCCTAAGATTTTGAAGTTTTCCTTAGACTTCCTCATTTAGGTCAGAGGCTTAGCAGGCCAGCATGAATGTCAGTGGATGTTGTGAATGGAAGAGTAACATCATAAACACATTTGATCGTAGCTCTGTCATATGTACTAAGTAATGTAAAGATGAGAAATCCAGAATTGCCTTCATTGGTAATTCATGTAGATTGCTGTCGTTGGGAGATAGCTGTAATACAGGTTTCATTCTCTTCCAGCTGTATCTCGTTTTTTCTCCCTCATTCCTGTGGAGCAAAGCAAAGTGCTGCTGAGCTGTGGGAGCAAACCCAGACCAGGCAGGGCATGCCTGGAACACTCGCTCCCCACTGGGATCAGTGGGAAGGGCAAGCTGTGCTCATTGCTCACACTGACAGTGGCCAAGGGCTAGTGACAAAAAGCTCGAGGACGTTTTTAGTCGTATTTTGCCTCCATTCTATTGCACAATATACTTTTGAGGTAGTTTTCCCTGATAACTGCTACAGATGCTTCGTTGAGCCTGCAAGGTGCCCCTACCCCTGCCATGGCAACAAGGCCTGAGAGCGAGCAAGGACAAGGCCTGCCACTGCCTGCGGTGATTTTCTTAGTGTCTCTGTGTCTCTTCCTTTCATCTACCACTCCATAAACCCTTGTCAATCCACGATAACAGTATTGCCTCATCACCACATTAACTCAGGTATCGCAGTACAGCAGCCCATTGCGATGCCGTGGTGTTTTGTTGGGGTATTTTTAGCACCTTCTTGATGGAAAGGCTTTGGTCGGCATCAAGGGCATCACTAAATCATCAGAACCAGGTGGTTGAAGTCAAGGTCAAACTGGGGTTTTATTTTTAATTGCAGTGAAAAGGTGAACATAATAGATACCTCTAAGTGACATCATGAGTCACTGTCGAGTATAAACCATGATTAAATTTCCCTTTGCCAAGCTGATGTCACTTTTTTGATGAGAAGCTCAAAAGGCTGGGTTACAGCTGACGCACTGAGCAGCTGCAGACCTGCAAGAAGGGAAACTGGGAGACAATGGAACTTCAGAAATAGCAAGACTTTGATGGCCGAGCCACAGCACAGCTCGGTTTGGCCACGTGAAAAGTTTTGTATCTCGCCCGCACGAGCCGGGGAAGCGCAGCAGAGCTGGAAACCACCTGCACCCACTGCAGAGCCCCACATGTCTGTCAGGAAACCTGCCCAGACAGGCAGTGGCTGAAGATAGTGTGAGGCTCATGGGACTGCATACGGTATTCCAAGCGTGTGGAAGCTTTCCTACCACCACGAAGTCTGCTGAATCTAGAAAATGCTCTGTGTGTGTATCTTCAGCAGTCTCCACTGTTAGGGTTTAGGTCTCTTCATCACTCTCCACTGCCCTGGTATCCCTCAGGAAGAGAAAATATCCCCACGTATGGCTTAGGGAAGGCTAACACCAGCTATAGAGACAGGGTTAATGAGTACCTTGTGGGGAGAGGGAAGGACTGGGTCTCTCCCAGCTGCATGGTTTTTATATGTGACCTTGGAGAAAAGAGCTAAATGAAGGTGGACAAACCTGCAGTGAACTCCCTGTGCCTCTTTCGAGGAAGAAAATTTTGGGTTATGTCTATGACTTTGGAGCTCGTGTCAGGTTAACACAGTTAAATTGGAGTTTATAAATCTTCCTTCCATCTAATCCCTCTAGCTTTCCTCTCTACTGTGCCCTTCTCATCCTGTTAGATTATGACAGATTTTGCTGGAGGAAGAAATAGGTTTGTTCACTCGGTCACAAGTAACACACTAGTGTTTATATATGCAGTGAACTGTTTTCACAAGGATTACATAGATGGGTACGTGAACAGCAGTGTTTGCAGAAGATGGTCTACACACACTCCAATCATCTTGTGTTCACAGTGCCCCTATATTCTTGCAAATTCTGGTCCAAAGTGTAGTCTTAAATTACATATATCTACTTATTCTGTCTCACAAACAGAATTATTTATGCCCTGCAGACAGTAGCTTTTTCCATCAAAGCTTCTTCTCCAGCGTTGCATCGGAAAACTCAGAGCTCTGGGCTAGACATGCCTTGGCCAATGCAGAGGTAGAAGGTTGGTCTCAGAATGGTTAAGTGAAAGGGTTTAATAAAGCTTCTATTTAAGGCCATTTCGAAACAGAAGCTGCGGATTAACAGTATTTCCTCTGTGTTGATATTGGTTTGCCTAAGGAGAAGGAAGGGCTAGATGTCTTCTCTAAGAAGGACAGGAGACAGTGGTGGTGTAAACCGGCTCTCGCTCTTGGGCTGAAACACCCTCACTGTAGAAGGAGGCGTAAGGAACAATAAAGACTTGCTCTCTTGCAGTACAGCCCCTGTGTTACAGGAGGGCTGGTGGAGGAAAACACAAAGTGTGAATTGTCCCTCCCAGTTACTGCCAGGTGGTGCCCAGATGTGGCCTGAGAAAGGTCTCTGCCAGCCCTGGTCCCTGCGAGAGGCTCATCCCGTCGGTGCTGTGCTCAGTACGGGTGGCAGGATAGCTGCGTGCTTCTCCTCCGTCTGCCAAGCGGCATCCGTGGGACATTTCAGAGCATGCTTTGCCATGGGCTTGTTTCAGAAAACGTGTATGTTGGACATAATTGGAAAGCAAGAAACTGCATGGGGATTCAAGTAATGTGGAGGGGTGCTGCTACACGTTGTACGTGCTCCCTTTTTTCCCCAACAAATGGGTATTATGGAACCTGAATTTTAAAAAATTTAGTGAAAAGAGGAAGTTGGGCAGATAAAAACGATTGCTGGTAGCTGCTTAAACAGTCTGCAAAAATATCTGTTGTAGAGGAAGTGTCTGAAATAAAAGGAGGTGTCTTCCTTCTTGTAGTTTCTGTGACCCTGGGAAAGATGGATGCAAGACTCATGGATATAAAGACAATGACATAATTGGACATGCGTGTTGTCAGGATTCTAAGGAGCTGACTCCTGAAACCTTTATTCCTATCCCAAGAAGTGGAGGCAAGGAAGATGCTCAGGTGGAGGAAGAATGTAGACCCAAACCTGCGAACGGCAACGCTTTAATAAAGTGTCCAGAGCAGCCTGCAGCTCCTGGGGAGCCAGAAACGAACTGCCACGCATCAGCGCAGCGTCACCGAGGAGACAGTGGTACAGCCGGGGGTTTAGTGGCAAAGGACTTATCTGTGCACGATAGCCAAGATGATATTCTCCCTGAGAGAGAGATGAATCCACCCAAAAAGAGACTGCAGTCTCCTGAAGACCAGCGGTACGAAGAACTTGCTATGGAGATCATTGCTGAAGACAATTCTCTGGTTGATATTCTCATGCCTCACCCTGTTAGAAAAGCTGCTCTAGATCTGATGGAGGGTCTTTTTCCTGCTAACATTTCCATGCTGGATAAATCACATAGGAAAAAGGGAAACGTACAGCATGTGCAGGAGAATGAGTAAGTAGACAAACCCAATTATCTAGTATTTTAAGCCATTTTATTGAATAAGTATCACATATATTCTAGTAGTAAGATGGCTTGAGCAAATTTTTTTGTTTCGCTAGCAGAATACCTTTGCTTTCTGATTTACATATCAAGAAATATCTGAGTCTGTGGGTAAATGACAGGAGAAACGTGGTTCAATAATACCTTATTAAAAGGGGCTGTGACAAACCTGGGCTGCAAATCTTTTGCTCTGTAACTTTTAAAAGCTTAGGAAAAAATGCTGCTGTGAGAGGAGAGTGAAGTCAAGACGCATAAAGACATAAACACAATGCCCATGAGAAAAACTCGAAGTGTATTCATTTTCTGTTCCAATAGCAGGAGGAGTAAAGGTGCCACAGAAGAACGTCCTGTGTCTGACCACGATGCCAAGCAAGATCCTACCTCTGAGGGAAACCAGGTCGTGAATAGGAGCAGAGACAGCTCGAATGACCTAGATGACATCACGTCTAAGAAAGTATGTAGGTGGCCATTGCGGGAATGGTGGTTTCTTCACCACGACCAAGAAGTTGTTATTAATGTCACATGTATTACTGTGGATATTTTTATTCATGGCTTTTAGCCCAGTAATAATGTTTCACAGATAACTTGGAATCTGCTTTTGCCAGAAGGTGAAGTCCTGACAAACAGGCATATCAGTGATAAACTGATATTTAATCCTGCCTGGTTTGATCCCGGTCTCCCCTGTGTGCTTCCCTTGAGCAGGTCGCTGTGGACAGGCTGGATCTGGAACAAGCACGCAGGGCTGGTTACACATTTCCTTGCAAGGCCAGCTCCTGACTCACAATTTAATGCTCAAATATGGCTCAAAATCTGTAAAACTCATTAAACTGGCAGCCTAAATAAGAACTATTTGTTACTCTGAGAGAACGGGCAGCAGTGCCTGTGCAATACAGTGCCCTGATAATTTCTGTACATGCAGGGAGTAGCTTGGGCACAGCTGGACTACGATGGGAATACGGCAGCTTGGAAGGGCAGTACGTAGCTTTAAAGAATTGGATCGTTTTCTTTTCCCGTAGAACCCTGGCCAAGCTCCATCCCAGGTAATGACAATCTGCCTTCCCGAAACACCCCCTGATGTGTATGTGGTGATAGTTTTCCTTATCCACTGTCCAACTGCTGCTTCTGTTCACGGTGACGTTGGCTGATTTCCTAAAAAGCCAACCGGGTTCTTCTCCCGCTCTGGTCTCGGGGCCTTTTTCCGTATCAACATTCCGTATGAAACAGCTACCTCCGCTTGCGTCACTCCCAGGCACTGTGGCTGGCTGGAGTCACCCGTGGAACTGAGTTTTTCGGTGTATTATAAATGAGATTCCAGGCAGTTCTTGTGAAGCTCAGCAGTAGAGCAGTCTTAGGGCATAGCCGCGTGGAATCCGGTTGTCATCTCTGCTGCAGTTCACTTCCGACTGATGGGAAGCTCCCTGAGCCAGGGATTATATCACCAGTTAAGGCGATTACCAGTAATTTGCTTTGTAGAGTGTGAGAATGAAGTACAGCTTAGAAAATCTTTCTTTTTTTTTTTTCTTTCTTCTTTCCCAAAGCTTAAAATTATTTTAAAAGTCCAAAGTTTGGTAAAGATGATGTGAGGAAAATCCATTCTCGAGAAATTATATGGATTCTCTTTGGCAATAACAGCTTGTTGTGACTTTTTCTCTCTTTGCAGCTGGAACTCATCTCCAGCCTCCGGTCCAAGCTGCAGAGGCTATGGGAGGAAAGGGAGCTCGTCCTCCGCGAGGCCAGGGAGTGCGCCGAGCGAGGCCGGGAGCTGGAGGCTGTGGTGCGGGATGTCTGCAAGCCCAATGAGTTTGAGCGCTACATGATGTTCATCGGCGACCTGGAGAAGGTTGTGAGCCTCTTGCTCTGCTTGTCCAGCCGTCTTGCCCGAGTCCAAAATGCCATGAGGAGGATCGACGGCAACACAGACGCTGAGGAGAAGGTGAGTGACAAGCGAGCGGGGTGTTGAGTTTGTTTTGTTCCCATCTTTCCAGGTGGGGCTGCCCTCGCCTGGTGTGTCTGGCAGCTCTAAACCAGCGGCACAGCTCGGGCAGTGTTCAGTGCCACAACGCGGGGGTGTGTCTCTGCGTCCTGCGCACAGGCTCGGTGCTGGAGAACCAAAGTGCGGGGTGAACTCTGCAGCTGGGTGCTGGGGTGGCAGCAGTTGAGCCCTCAGGCTGCTCCGTGGGGAATAGATCCAAACCTGTGCTTCGGAAGGTTTTGAAATTGTAATTGACTTAATTCACTTAACAGTAAGGAGCAGGAAGATGTTGTGGTCACAACTTGAGATAAAATTCCCCGTAGTTTAACTCAACTAGCCAGTTTTGCTGGAGAATTAGGACTTGTCTCATGTCACCAGGCAATCTTTTCAAGTCTGAAATACACTTTTTTGCTAGAGAAGACAAGCCAAATTTATCCCAGGAATGCTGCTTTCCTGCTGTCCTTACTGTTTCTATCAACACAATACCTGCTGTCCTCTCTCATCTGGAAGCCAGAAAAGCCCAGAGTTAGAAAAGCTGGGATTTCCTGGAGCTAGGCGGCTGCCGACCCGTAGCTCTAGGGGTTTGTCATCCTTCCCGTGCAGGAGGGCACTGCAGAGTCCTGCCCTGCAGCGCGATATGGAGCGTCGGAATCTACTCGCTCCCAAACGTCAGTCGTGTTAACGTGAATAATTTGGGGCAGTATTTCACCCTGGCTTTGGCCAACAGACTCTGTGGTTGGCGGGGGGAGGCTGCTGTTTCTCAGTGTTGTGTTTATACTCTTCGTAGTAAATACATTACAATCACTTATTCAAGATTTTGAAAAAGAAGCTCAGTAAAGCCTCGGTTACATGCCAGCGTTTTTACAACCACCTGCCCGTGGCTGCAATTGCCCCAACATGAGCAAAACCAGCAGTCTCGCTCTTTGACTCTGTTTTTAGGGTGTCGATGGTGCCTGTTGCTCTGTGCTGGGTTTGTGGACGCTGTCCTGAAACCGGACATTTCCCGACAGTGCTATCCCTGTGAAAACCCTTTCAGCTGAAAGAGCATTAGTGAAAATGGGAAAGGTATTAAAATCCTGTAGAGCAGGCAAGGCGTGGTTCTGGTGGATTTGCTCAAAAGCAGCCTCTGATGAACAGTTACTGTCTGCATCAGTGCATTCGTCACTCATTCACCGAATGCGGGCACACTATCGTGTTCACGTGGCACTGGCCACACGCAACTGGCAAAATACAAATATATGTGCCTTAAAGAGCTTCTAATTGAATGAGGACGAGCACAGGCTACTCTAAAATTACCAGAATGTTAAGTGTATTGATCTTTTTTTCCTGAGGGCAGCATGGAAGAAGTGAGCCTTGATGGGGTTTAACGGGTGTCTTTACCTTACAAGCCACAAGAATGAGTAATTCAGTCGAGAGAAAAAAACTCATGTGGAACACAAAGCCCACAAGAGGAAGCAATTAAACTAAATCGACTGTGGCTTCCAAATGAAGATCTAGAGTCTGCCAGGAATGATGAGTTTTCATAGTGTGCTGCTTTGTTTTTCTCTCCCTATTAGCAATCGCTGAACGAACGGCACAAGCTCTTGTCCAGACAGCGGGAGGATGCAAAAGACCTGAAGGAAAATCTAGACCGTAGGGAAAAAAAAAAGCCAAATACCTGACTGATCAGCAGCTCCAGGACTACCGACACTTTGTTCAAGTCAAGACCTCCCTGCTGATTGAACAGAAGGACCTCGAAGAGCAGATTAAGTTTTTCGAAGAACAACTAGTCAGCCTTGAGCAAAGCATCTCCCTCTGAGGCCCGCCAGTAGGCCGTCCCTCGGGATGCTGACCTCGTCTGGTGAATCCTTGCCATCCTGTTAGTGCCATGGTTCTGACAAGTGCTCAGATGCTCTGGGGATGCTCCAGGCACACGCAGGACGCGCCTTCCCTTCGGACAGGCCAGCTGACAGCATCTCACAGTACGTAGCAGACTGCGTTTCGGAAATGACTGATAGGATGCGCTGCTCCTGTTAACTTGGCGTGTATTTCCCCTTCTTCTTGCCTGTCCATCTGTTTCGGGATTGACATAATCTCAATAAAAGAACGATACAAATATTGCCTCTTGTGGGTGGGCTGAGTGTTTGAAATGAAAAATGATGTGGGTGTTCCAGCTTGAATTGGAGATCGCACAAAGCCATAGGAAGCGTTATGGGCCATTTCGGGGAGGCTCCTGCACTCGTTTCCCTGTTGTTGTGTAGGCCACAGTAAAAACACGCTGCAGTGGAAGAAAATAATTACTTCCTTTCTTGGCAGTTGCCATCCATGGGGTTTTCCTGGCTCTGCATAATCCCAGTACGTTGATGGGTCTTTGGAGGGCAGAAAAAAGGGTGGTCCTCACCGGCGTCAAAAAGTCCAGATCAGTGATGAAGTGGCTTAAATGACACTTTTGGGAATGGTAAACTCTCAACTTATTCCTGCACAGTCCTGGCTGTGCTTTCGAAGTGTTTATTTTTCAAGCAGCACCTCCAGTGGGTTGGTTTTAGGTAGCTTTCAATTGTCGGCGTGCGCAAGAAGTGCGGAACGTGGGGGCAACGCTCTGCTGCAGAGGGAGGTAGGCGGGTTGAGTGGAGGAAATTACTCAGATTCAATGAGGCTTTATATAAATCCCTTGGAAAAAAATCTTTTAAATTAATGTTGTGTGTTGAGTCAAACCAGGGATGTTGCTGTATTTAAAATGCAAGTGTTTTCTTTGTTTTTAAGTACTCAGGGAGAGGAATGTTCCATCTGAGCTACATGCCTGGACGGTGAATAAGGCAGCTACTGGTCGAACTCGGGTTTCTTCCACAGGCAGACTAGGGGTTCGTTGTCCCGGGATGGTAGGCTCTACGAGGAAATGCTCCACTAGTGGTGTGTGTCCTGACTGCAGCATCATCACTACGGAGAGAAACTCTCCTGTTCCTGAGCCATCTTCTCCTTTGGGATTGCAGGAGCTGTTGATAAACACACAACCGCCCTGAATGGGGAGGCGACGCGGGCTTAAACTGCTGGTTTGGGTTCGTTTTACCTCAGATCACATTTTTCATCCGAGTTTACCCGCGGACAATGTGAATGAACGGATCAAGAAGTGACAGCGTACGACAAGGAGACAGCTGTCCGCGTTCTGCTGAGCGGTGGTAGTTGAGGATAACTTGCCAACACTCCTCCTGTGGGGAGAGGGCACCGGAGAGGGCACAACATGCTGCACTCGTCCATGAGCAAACTCTGAGAAGTGGCCTGGAGTTACACAGGGGTGCAGTAAAGCACAAGTAGCTCCCCAGGCTCCGAGGTTGTCAGCCACTCTGTGTTTGTCTTCGGAATAAATGAGCGTGTTGTCCATCAGGTGCTGCCCAGACTCCAGCAAAGCAGCATTGTTCTAAGTTTGGGTGTTTATGCAGAAGTACTCGGGTAGCCCTGCTCACGTTTCAAGAGAAACAACGTGGTACCTTACCCTGAGTAAGGCCACCGAGTTGCCCCTGCCCAGCATGTGTTGGGCCAGGGAATTCTCGATGCTCTGCTCTTCTTCCCAACCGCTGCCCGGATCCCTGGAAAGCTGTTGGCTCCCAGGAGCTTCGGCGCCTTGGCAATTCACCGCTGCTCAGACCTGCATGCGAAGTCAAGTGTGTGTGTTGGGGGAATACAAGGAATGAAGGAGCTCCCTGACCCTCTGGGGAGAGCAGGCATGAAATCCCTACTGCCTGGGGAGTCTCAGGTTGCACCCTACAAGCAAAGTAGGGTAGAAGGTAAGGTGACCCCAGCACCACGCGAGTCCTGCTACCAGAGACCTGTGGAGAGCCGTCTGTATGAACTCATTACAGCCGCCTCCAGGAGAATGCAAAATAATGGTGTTGAGGAGAAGGAAGAAGGTGAAATAGGCAAAATGCAAGAGCCTAGATCTCACCCATGGCTTGTGGGGAAGCTGGTGGGATTCCAGGAACAATCTTTGGGACTCATTTGGCCATCCACGCACGAGCAGCGTGGGGGAAGAGACTGCAGGAGCTTATGTTCTGCTAAGCAGAAGGTGGGCCTGATTTCAGGGTAAAAAAATGCTTTAATTGCCTAGGGCCGGGGATGAGCAAGCACTACAGGTGTGGGGCAGAGCAAGTGGCCAGTGGAAGCAGACAGGGCATTGTGCCCATCTGGCAGCGTCTTGGCAGCAGTTACAGGGATTTTAGACGTAGCAGCTCATTTTGAATTTGATTTAACACCCACTGCGATGTGTGGGAGTCGCTGCTGGATCAGGAGCTGCTGTTTCAACCTCTCAGGCACTAAATTGAAGGATTTTCATTTAGTGTTTTTTTTAAACCCCAGACTTGTTTTCTTCACTGGGGCGTTCTGCCGTGGGACTCTTGTGTGTGGAGCTAATTAAGGAATGGAGGGGTGCAGGGGCTGATGTAAATGTACTCTGCAAAAGATCTGTTTGGTGCTGCGGGAGCTGCGTTTAATAAGTAGAAGGATGTTCTCTCTGCTTTGGGAATTCATGGCAACCATCTGAACAAAATTTTAAAAATAAACTCAGAGCAGCGTTGCAAAGCTGCTCTCCCGTGCCTGAACGGAGCCCACGGATGCGTTAAAGGATAATCAGGCTGTAGGAATCGTGCAACCTCTGCGCTTCACAAAATGCACTCAAGAAGCAGCACGTGAACTCCCCTGCCAAACAGAGAGAGGTATTAAAGGTTATCAGAGAGACTCTGAAATGTCACAGGAGCCTTGAAGCTGAGTCACCTGGTAGATGAAAACACGGGCTGAACCGACAGTCTTGGTTTAGAGACTGAGAGCGCGTCACCAGCCAGAGGTTGTTCTGATGGCCCTCAGCACATGGTGGTGTGCACCCAATAGCCTCCCCAGCTGCCCCTTGTGAAACCATCCCTCCCGACAGCGCCCGAGGGGATGGCTGGTGGCTCCAGCACCCCTTGCTGGGGCTCAGCTGCTGCCTCCTGAGCGGTGTCACCCCATGTCACAGCGGGAAGCGTGAGGTAGGAGACAGAGAGGTCTGGGCAGCTCTCACTGATGGGCAAGAGTCCGTAACAGAGCGTAGGGGTGGATGGACAGACGGCTGCTTGGGGCAGAGAGAGCAGACCCAGGCTTGGAGCAGAGCTGAGCCCAGAACAGAGCTCTCGTGCTTTGCTGCAAAAGGAGAAACTACTGCAAGGGAGTGGTGGAAGAAAATCCGACACAACAAATGTGGTGAGAAAGTCCGTCTGTGCCGCTGCAGTTTGTGCTGGCTGCGTTGGTGACTTAGCAGTGTGGCCGTGCTGAGACCTGCCTCGCGTAGGAGGGATGGCCCGGCGGTGCTGCCAGCTCCAGGGGACAGCATGCGGGGCAGCGCACGGCTGGTGTTACCACCACCGCACTCTGTCTGAGCCCTGCGGGAGCCGAAATCTCTCATTATCTCTACGCCATGGAGTGTGTTTTTCCAGACCCTGGTCTCTGCGAGAGCAGTCGGGGATGCAGGAGCCCCCTGCTCCTTGGAGCACCCTGGTGTTGGGGTGCTTTTGGCAGTGGGTGAGGACAACCGTGGTGCCTGGAGGCATGCTGGGGGGCGAGGGCCTGGCACCCCGATATCACGATCTTGTGTGTCTGGGTGTTGCATTTTATTCGGTGAAAATGTGGGTTATTTGGTGTCAGCAGTGAGGCTGCATTGCCTGCTGCGCTTCTTAGCTGGGGTCTCTTACCCTGTCTGGAGTCTGAGGGTGATGGGGAGGGAGGTGGAGGATGGAAACAGGATGAAAGGAATTCCTCACTGGAAATGGGGGATTGGCTTTGGCTGGAAACTTGTGCTCCTCAATGAAGAAAGAGAGTAACGCTCTGTTCGGGGCAAACACGGAGCAGAAGGTCCCACCTAGGAAGGGGAAGCTGAACATGCTACAGCTGCAGCCTCTGGTTTTGTTGTGCACATCCGTAGTTTTTTCTTCCCAGAAAGGGAAGAAGCCGTACTAGAGTTGTGCTGGTGCGAACAGCGTGGGTCTATTTTGCCCGGGCTCAGAGGCAGATTATCATTTTCATTTACGATCAGAGCCTTTTTTCATCACGGTAATAATTAAACCAAACCAGAAGTGAAAGCAGTGAGCTGACGGGATTTTCTGGCGGTTTGCTCCGAAGGAGCAGGTGAGCAGCCGCCCCCGTTCGACCGCCAGCGGTTGTTTTGGGGTCGCACACGCGGGCGCTGAGAGCGGGCATCACCGTGTGGCTCTGCCAGCTGCTCGTGGGTTTCTTTAGCTCCAACGACCAGAGATGGAAGATGAACTGGGAGGGAGGAAGGAGGAAGCATGACTTTGCCCATAGCTCTTCCTGTCTGGGGATAAAAAATAGCCCCTGGGTGCTCTGTGCTCTTTTCCTGGCTGTCGGCAAACGCGGCGGCGCCGTTTGTGCTCAGTGGGAGAGGCTGAGCCCAGTGCAAGGGCTGGATGCGCTCAGCGATTTGCTTTGTCTCATAAATTAGTGAAATAAACCTTGGGACTGGCATAGAAAAGGAATGTTCCTCATTACGATGTGGAGCTTGTGGTGCATGAGGTCCTGCTCTGTCCCTGTTGGAACAAGCGCGGTGCTGTTCGTGCCCGTGCTAGGTGCTGGCCAAGTCCCCGTAGGCAACCCCCTCGTTTGGGGGGGTCCCACATTCGTACAAATCGCTGGAAAGAGCAAAACCTGCCTTGTTGCCATTTTACTTCAGATTAATATGCTAATCGGGAGGCAAATGCGTCCAAGGAATGTAGGTCAGGGTGGAAATGTGCAGAGAGGGAGAAGGGACGAGTGATGGGGAGTTTGGGGATGGTCTGGAAA